ATTGATACAAGTGACAGGATAAATGAGACATTGCCCAAAGTAAATTTTATTCTGAATAGATGGAGTGCTAAATAACATTGCAGAAATATTTTGGATATCACCTGTACACACCTATTAACATGAAATCTACACCATGTACAGAATGTTGCTGTGCAAACCAGGAAGCAAGCAAGCAACATACATATCATATAGACATCATGATTCAGCTATCAAAACTTTCCTGTCTTGATTCCTCATGATATAAGGTAAAGGAGACAAGGTGGTTGCTTGCTAGAGCGGACAGGTGGTTGCCTGGCATGCCAGGCGTACTGGAACTATGTAAAAGGGTGAAATCTATGTTGTGAGAGGTAATGTAGGTTGCCCATAGGAGTGGGTATGATAGTGGCTTGTGTGTGAGGTAAGTAAGTTGGTTATGTGATATATATTAAATATTAAGTGGCCTTGTATGAGTGGGTAAAGGAATTGGTTGTGTGAGAGGTAAGTAGGTTGGTTATGTGAGAAATAATAATATAACAAGTGGCCTTGTATGAGTGGGTGAAGGAGTTAATTGTGTGAGAGGTAAGTAGGGTTGGTTATGTGAGATAATAAGATAACATGTGGCCTTGCATGAGTGGGTGAAGGAATTGCTTGTGTGAGAGGTAAGTAGGTTGGTTATATGAGATAATAACATAACAAGAGGCCTTGCATGAGTGGGTGAAGGAGTTGGTTGTGTGAAAAGTTCAGTAGGTTGGTAATGTGAGAAATAATATAGTTAATTGTGTGAGATGTTAAGTAGGTTGGTTGTGTGAGAGATAATGTGTTAAGTGGTCTTACATGAGTTGGTAAAGGAGTGATTTGTGCAAAAGGTAAGTAAGTTGACTCTTCGATAGGTGACAAAAAGTTGCCTGTGAGAATGATGTAGGGTAGCAGTATTACATAAGGTGTCTGAGAGGTAACTGCCCTGTATGAAGATGTATTGCAGTTGTTTCTGTGAGGTATGATAACATCAAATCACTGATTTATAAAAAGGCATTGCATAAGAGGTAATGAAGTTGTTTAAGTGAGAGGTAAGGCAGTTGATGTGTGCAAGAGGCAGGGAAGTTGCTTGTATGTTATGTTATGTATAAGTGATAAGTATGTTGCTGAATTGTGTGAGAGGTATTTGTAGGTTACTTGTGTAAGAGGTAATAAAGCTGCACTGCATGAGAGAGTAGTGGTGTTTGCATAAGAGGTCAATAAGTAGTTCTGCATTATATATAAGGTAGTTGTTCTGTGCATGAGGTAAAGTAAGTTTCCTTGTATAAGAAGTTATGGTGTTGTTTGTGTGAGAGGTTAGGAAGTTGACTAGGGCAATGAAACTGCATATATGTCATATCATTTGGTTACTTGTCTTATGGGGTAAGGTACTTATTTGCCCAGTATTAAGTCATCAGTTTAAAGTTAAACATTCCAGAGGCAGGATTTTTAGAAACACCATCAAGCAACATTGAAGAAAACCAAAAACCATAACTATCAATTAAACAGACACCTATACCACTTGCACCTCTCCCACAGAGACAGAATATACCATCCTTTCAATTTTCATCAAGCTACCTATCAATCTTTATAACAAAACTGGGGTTTTCACTTGTTTTTATCATATCTGTTACCATAGTAACTATATACAAACATTTTGTGATTCTCACACATTTATATCAGGAGGTAAGATCAACAGAAAGTATATAAACAATCTGTAAAAATACTGCTGGAATATTATCATTTGGTTACAATGATCAGGAGATAGCTAGATAACATTTTGTTACAACTATTTATAACACCAGGCATGTACCTGTATATTGAACATCAAAACAACAACAAGAGTAAAGCTTCAAGTTTTTTCAGGTTTTTACCGGAATCAGCTTATAATTTATATCTTTCTTGTTCAGTAAAGATTTTTTTTTATATTTTAGCAAAGAAAAAAGTGAACATTGATGAACAAAAATAAACAAAAGATAATGAATTACAAGAATTATCATAAATTATCATAATTAAAAGTTTAATTACAAGAAAAGATGTATAGAAAGCTAAAATCATCTCATTGTAATCTTTCACATTACTCCAACACAAGATACCGACATACAAAGTACAAAAAGGGATGTAATTATTACAGGAATGCAAAACTGAGTTGAGGCCCTTTGTTTGAATTTTAAACTCTATTTAAACCTCTTGCACACAAAGAGTTGAATTACAAAAATACATTGAAAGCTTTTAATTTTTTAATACCTGAGTAAACCAACAAGTGTCAAGCTATATACCTAGTTTAAGCACATAATATTATAGGCCTGTATATATAACAAAAACAATGGCCAGCAGAGGCCCTTAATGTTTCAACTTTAAAGCTTTAATTTTACTAATTTCTGAAAAAGGGAGACAACTAAATAAAGTTAAGGTACAGATTGTTAAATATCCTTTATTCTATAGTCTCATAATTATGTTCCCAGTCACTATTATGCATCAAATAATGATATAATCAGACAATACAAGTAATCTGTCTTTACAGAATTATAAATACAAACAACACGCTTAATTATTGTGTGGGATGAAAATTCTTGGTAAACCAGGAGAAAATTAATGCATTTAACATATGAAAACACTATCACTAACAAAGATTAAATCAGTGCATTTATTTTGCAATAATTCTATTGTTAATGCATGTTTGTAGTCAAATCTAGTATTTATTACGTATGTAGTAATGCCACAGAAATATAACCATAGTAATTAGTAAGAAAACAACTCTTTGATAACTAAGAGGTTCATATACTTCCACATTGACAAGGATTTTCTCCTTAGGACATGCAGAAACATATGGTTCCATGAATTGATAATATTTTTATTCTATTATCCTACTAAGGCAGAAAGAATTTTAAAAAGTTGTCTGTATGTTACATTGTTCCTTTGCAAATAAATTGATAAATATGTTCAAGACTTAAGTGTATATTATACTAATGCCAAATGATGATATATTATTTCAAGGTCATAAAGGCATAGTTAAAATCATAAATCAGATTTCCCACATTAATGGTAATTAACAAGTACACCAATGAAAGCACAAAAAAGATATTATTGCAACTATGAACATAATTATATGGATACAATTTTTAAGCTCAATTCCACTCAGAAGCGAAACATGTATACTGTATTCTTACTAAACCAAACTCATTCATAACTTGGCTTTAACAAAATACCGAATCACGAATCATTTACGATGACAAATTCAGTAATTGAGAGCCAAAAAATATAGGTGTAAACCAAAAATCTTCTGTCTTGAAAGCTTTTAAATTACACATGACGGATCTTTTAGTCAAGAGCAACATACTCTGTTGAAACTTTTATCAACAGGTAGAACCAATTACCTGTATTGCAGACTTGAGATAGACTTTTTTCGCCTTTTTTGAATCAGTATTACCATTAAGTAATCATTTTCAGAAATATTGATAATAACACTGACTGGTTGATATCTTTATTTAAAATGAATAATGTTAACCTTTAATCGAAATGAAGATAATTTTCCTATTTCTCTACTGCCTAGTTATCATGTGTTACCTATACAATGATATTACCCTAGAATAAGTAACCTGCAGTTTTATATGTAAGATATAGTATTGTCAGAATCATGCAAGTATTATCATCATACTGTAGTGTTGTATTGTCATATTTAATGACAAGTTTATTGTTATTTCATCTCCTGCATACAAATCTAACAAACACTCACATAAAATACACTGGCATAAGAATTCAGTTTGTCAATTAAAAAAAAGTAAATGATGTTATTGTTCAAGGTCATTTTCTCAAGTCAGCATTCTTTTTAATATCAATCTTCACCAAAGAAATACAGGTAATAATTATCACAAACTAGTTTTACATCAAACATGAAAAACTCATGCAGAAATATATTAAGTAAAGACAGAGAAATGTAAAGGTGTATGCCAAAGAAAATTTGAGAAATTTAGACTTCCGCTTTGAAAACTATTAAACATTACAAATCATTAAGTCAAATGCAGCATACTCTGTTGCAACTTTATCAAGAAGTAAAACCAATTATTGCAGACTTAAGATATTAAGCCTTCTTATAATATATAAATATATTTCGATATTTATAATTTTGTATACTACTTCAAAATTTTTGAAGGCTAAGGTTACATTTGATTCAAAGTAAATCAAAATTAATGGGAAAACTATTTACAATACTTAATGTTTGGAGTATGAAATTAATCACTGAGATGTGCTGAACTCTAAAAGTAAAAGTATGCTTCTTCAAATATTTCAAAATATTTTTCAAGGATATTCAGGTACTGAAGGTTTTAAAGTGGAGAAAATCTGTTTTCTTTAAAATAAAGTATTTCAGCATGGTTGATAATTAACTTAGAAAACTTGTTAGTTTTTATAGATCTTAAACTATGTTACAATCTGCAGATCTTTCATTATAATAATTCAATTTTGCACAAAATACAGGTATTCTCTTTCTGGAGAAAAAAAATGTAAGTAAATTGTTAATGCATTATTACACTTTACCAGAGACGGAGGAAAGAAAGAGTGGCGTGAGACAGGGAAGAATGTTGTGTGGGAAAGTCATTTGGCATCAGAAATATGTATGATTGTTATACCATCACCAGGAATTAGGTAAGGAAATTATAGCAGAAATATGTATAATTGTTATACCATCACCAGGAATTAGGTAAGGAAATTATAGCAGTAGGTTAACACAGAAGTTAGAAATGTTGCATCTTCCAAAATTAAGTATCTAGATGAGTCAAATTTATTTCTTTGAAATTAATGAGACAATAACAAACTATTTCTCTCTTGTCCCTGTTTACACAAATCCAGAATGATAAAAGATCATTTTAATCATAAGACCTTCCATTATATCAAAGGGGAAGAACTGATTTGATATATTTAGGTTTAGGTAATAATGTCCCCTTCTCACAAAGAGTATTAAGTATTAAACAGAATACTAAGCAAGAAAATAAAGGGATGTAACTCACCTTAGCATTCTGAGGAGTAAGCTCTAGAGTAACATCCCCTGGACTAGGTGAGGGTGACACAGTCTTGAAACTCTGGCTACGCTGTACACCCAGCGATCTGTTTCCTAAAGGAGACCGCAAACTCTCTGTCCGACTCAGATTTATTGCCTTCGAAATTATATCAACTGGACTGGATTTCCCGGAAGAACTACCACTGGAGCTTGAATCTCTCATTTGAAAAATCTTTGCCCTCTCTGACACAGGTGTCAACTTTGTAGAATCTCGGTTAGTTTGACTGGACGGGGAATTTGTTGAATCTCTAAGAGCTAATGAGGTGTTTCGGTCAACTATTCTTGCACTCTGACTCCTTGAAAGCTTAACTTCTCTTTGAACACTTACTGGTATTTCATTTTGAACAACTGTTTCTTGATTTGAACTGTCCTGAGATGGAGTTATGGATTTTTCTCTTTCCATTGCTAAGGGACTTGGCTTACTTCCAACTTTTCTTAATTTCACTTGAAGCCACTCTGGTTTTTCACTACCGGCAGAGCGAACACTCTGAGACCGACGAATCTCTCCGCCGGCACGGAATTTCGCAAGAGGTTTTACTTCTTTTACGTTTGAACTTTCTAAACACAGTGAACTTAAACCAGACCCTGCATTTACTGTTTTAACATTATTGTCAATATCTCTGGAATGTGGTTTAACATCAATATCATTTTTAATTTTGTCTGCAAGATTTGCGTTTAATTTTCCAGCATAGTTCTTATTAACATCAACCTCTACTTTTGGTACTTCCTTAACAGTGACTTTCTCCACATTTTCTTCAGACTGCCTATCAGATACAGACTTATCCACAACCCTAGGACTCTTATCAACCTTCTCCATATCTTCAAATTTCTTTGATTCACCATTTTTAATGACTGTATCTATGGACTGAAAACTGCCTGTACGAACCAGGGGCTTGTCAGATTTTTCTTGTCGTAATGAACGTAGACTTCCTTGACGTACAAGCATCACTTTCGATGCCTGGGATTTAGCTGCATTTACTTGTTCACTGTCAATGTTCGGAACAAATTTTGATGTGAATGTTTTTAGAGATGCAGTCTGAGTTTTCTCCTCCTGAACAGTAGCATGCTGTTTGTCAACCTCAGCTGTCACAGTTTTCTCTGCTTGTAAACTGTCATCTGTTACAAAGAAAACTTCATGTTCATGACTTTTATTCTCTAGTGACTCTATATAACAGTAATAATGAAGCTTTAAAACAATTCTAACACGTAATTCATTAAGCTCTTCATCTTTAATTTATAATATCAGTTACACAATAGTGTCTTTTTCTAAATGTAAATCTGTATTGATAAGAAAAATAAATCATATTTACCCTGGAAAATTTTTCTATTTGAAATAACCAGAAGTATTAAGTCAACAATTCTTCGCAGTCCAATCCATAAAAGAATTTCCTAATTTTATCAACATGTCTAAATGTTTGCTACAAAATGACTTGTATTGAAAGAACAAGACTCTCTTACATAGCTGCTGTAAATTAAAAAAGATTTTAAAAAAACTAAAAATGATTTGAAAAAAAAAAGAAAGTCTAAATACTGATATTGACTTCTGAAAATTATTTCTATAACTACAGATCTAAATTTTTCTACCTTGGACAGTAAGCTGACACGAGGTAGTTACTTCCCCTTTCTCATTTCTTGCCATACATTCATAACAACCAGTGTCTTTAATGCATGTTTCTGCAATCTCCAGTTCAACAACATCTTCATTCTGTGTTTGCTTGAAATCCAATGTCTGTCCAATAACTAGTCCATTTTTCCTCCAAGTTATCTCTGGTTTGGGCTCACCATTGATGAGACATTTTAGGGTAGCTTTCTTACCACTGATGACAGTAACGTCAAATAGCTCTTCAATCACAGAAGGTGCTGACTTCAGTGCTGTAAATAATATCACAACAATTTTATGAATAAACATGATACAGAGAAAGTACATAATTTTATGTACATACAGTAGTATATGAAGTGTGAGGAAATTAAGAAATTTTACAGTATAAAGCATTCATACACATGTATACACATTTAAATTTAAATTCCCAATGATCTTCATATTATCTTCATATTAAAATCATCAAATTCAGAATATTTGACAGTTATCCAATTAAATCAAAGTTATCCATTTTAATCAAAGTTGTCCAATTATAACAAAGATTATTAAGCTTTATAAAAATTATCTACTACTATGACAGAATTATTCATATCAAAGATGTAACTTTACATTTTACTTATCTGATATTTCATTTAAAGATTTTGAACTTTATCATTGATTTTTAATCAATTTGACTATTATACAAGTTTGCATAACTATAGTACATGTATATATATTTTACCTTGGATAACTAGACGACATTCTGCTGACACTTTCCCGGAACTGTTTTCAGCCACACACTCAATTTTGCCGCCATCTTTAGGAGAAACTTTTCGTACAACCAACATGGCTACCCTTCCATCATAAGATGTCCTATGATAAGCATCCTCTTTGACCTTTGACCCATTATGGTACCAGGTAACATTGACCTCTGGTGACCCAATAACCTCACAGTCAATGATAACTGGGTCACGCTCATTAGCAATGGTTGTTTCGGGTTTTTTCAGGAATATAGGGTAAACTACATCAGGGCTTTCAGACTCTGCAAAAAAATAAAATATAAAAATAAGGTGAAATTTAAAGATCTTTCTTTTGTAATAAAGTAACAAAAATTGCCAAAAGAAAAAAAAAAGGTTTTTTTTAAGAAGAGCAGTAATCATCTATCAGTTTTTCTGGATTTTAAAGCCAATTTTCATACATTCGGTTAGTCATATCTCTGGTGCCAATCCACCTAAACAGCTTTAGTTAACATATTATGCTATGTAGTATTTATATCACTTTAATATCAAAGTTCTGTTTTTCCTACAAAATATGTCAGCTTCAAAGCTTTTAATTTTGTACAATCATATCTTTCGTAATATATAGCTTTTATACAATGAAAATTGCATAGAAACCCCTGATTTATACAGTTTATATTATAGTTTATAAGAAAATATTTCACCTTTTACAGTAACCGTGCATGAACACTTTTTGTCTCCTGTTGAATTCTTTATTGTACATGTGTATATGCCACAATCGTCCAGAAACACTTCGGCAATTTCTAGCCTGGCCTTCGTTCCATCAAATGTCTGTTTAAAATCTGCGTTACTAAGAAGAGTAATCCCGTCTTTCGACCATGTGACTACATCAGTATCCGACAACTGACATTCCAGGCAAAGTGAGTTACCTTCGTTGATTGTGACATCTGTTAACTCGCTCATAAAAGATGGCACACCAGAACTCTTCCCTGTGAATAAATAACACTGTTTGTACTTAAAGTTTCTACAAAACTGTATGTATTTACTTTTCTTATTTTATTTTTAAAATAAAAATTCTTTCTGAATTTATCAACTCCCGTAATGATTATTACACAAATATGGCATCTTACGAAATCCTGAACTAAATAACGTTCTTTTTAAAATGACACTCTTCTGTTCCGAAGTTCAACACCCTTGTTGTAATAGATAACCTGAATGGTGCTTGGATGTTAAATTACTGTATATGCCTCTTATATTGTTTTTACAATTGGAACTTTACTGCGTTAACTCTATTTATGTACTTGATTGTTTTTATATTTCATTTTACATTTGATAAGGATCTTTGGCCAGGTTACCCACGTTTTATCATGCTGTGTCACAAAATATGAATGGAACAAATATATATTATCATAATGATGATTTTGTTTGATGAATAACCAAGGATGTCATACTGTCATCTCTATATGTAGATATAAATCTTAGTTCAGGGTTTAGATATGTGGCGATTTTAATCAAGGGTGTGTAACCCCTTAATATTCGGAACATCCAATCATCTGAATAAAGAAATTCTATAAATATGAAAATTAACCACATTCAAATATAAAGAGAATGAATACGAAATTGGCTGAATTAAATGGAATAAGGATTTTAATCATAGATTAGTGACGTCATCTTTTAACGCCCTATATTTTTTTGTCTATAGATATAACTTATCTTAAATTTAGGTCTATTTTGTTTACATGTTTATCACTGTCAACATAAACAGATAAGGGGGTATTAGTGCAAGAGGGTATGACTAAAACTCTACAGCATTCTTGTTTGTTTGTTTTTGATTAGTTGTGATTTTTTTCTAAACACAACATTCTTGTTTTGCTGTTGATGTTTTTGAAATGTACTTAATACATCAATTCTCTTACATAATCAGAGACTTTTAGTACAGAGGGATAAGCACCTTTAAAAATAGGAAGTTTTCCCATCCAGACCCACAATCCCTTGCAAAAGATTTATTAGTCATTGGTGTTGATTGATTTCTGCCGTCTTGTTTTAAAATGGGAGTTATCAGAGATTTAACGTTACCAAATGTATTTACATAAAGATGTTCATCAATTACTGAATATAATTTACATGTTCCTTATCTTTATTCGTTTACTACACTTCTTTTGATTCTTGAAATAAAGACAAAATAACATGGTGGCATGCATACCAAGCTCCAGGACATTATAAATCATAACATTTTACAAAATTTAATTTTTGTTACTATTTTTAGCTTTGAAACAGGATTGAGAACAAAAGATTACTATGCCCATCACTGTATGACATGGAGTAAAATACTTTGGTAGAGCTACCTGTTTACAGCAAAAAGTAATAAAAGTAACAATAAAACCTAAAGTGGAAAGAATCAAATGGTGAAATAAATACATGTATAACAATACAGTCTACAAATTATAAAATAGCAAACAAATAGCATAACTTACTTTTCACCAGTAACCTCCCTTTGGTTGTGGCAGTACCTAATGAGTTTTCAAAAACACATTTGTATTCCCCAGCATCTTTTAATGAGACTGGATGGATTTTTAGACTGGCATCACCGGTTTCCTCATTAAACTCAAGCCGGACACCGTCCACTCCATCATACAGACGATTATCTCCCCTATACCATACTATAGTAGGTGCAGGGGAGCTAACTACAGTGCAGTTTAACAAAATTGCCTCCCCTTCAAGAGCAGAAGTCTCTTTTAATGTTGCTTTAACTTCTGGACAACCTGTGAAACAGAAATGTATTTCAGTATCAACTTTATTATATACTAAGTCCGGCATTTTTAAAAAAATCTTAACATTTACAAAAATTGAGAAAATACTTTAATAGTAACTATTTTTAATGTTTAAATATGTTTCTCTCTAAAATATTTCTCTGTACTTATTATTAATTTTGTTTCAAACAATCAGTTTATGTAGAATTTATTTTTAGTTAGACTGTGTAGGAAGCGTTAAGCTATAGCCTGGAACCAACCAGCACTAAGCAATAAGTGTAGTTTCTTGCTCAAGGAAAGAATGGCTTGACCCCAACAGGGTTTGAACCCACACAGCTAGCAATCCTTTGATTAATTATCTGATAAGTTAACAACTCGGCGACACCGTAACATTGCAACTGGCTTTAAGTATGCTTTAAGGTTTCTTTAATTAATTCTTCAGTAATGTCTACTTCATAACATTGTTTCTGCAGGCACTCAACATGACTACATTTTAGATTTTTTGTGACATTTTACCTAAAGGTCTTCCCAAATGTTTATGGACAGCATCTACATGACTGGAGACTGTATCTTCACACAGAGATGGACCCCTACAAGAAGATATATACATTAGATGAATTATAAAGACAAAGCAATAAAACAACTTTCTAATCATTATCTGGTTTAAATATATTTATTTAAGTGTGATTGCGAAACAAGTTCTTGCAACTTATATTATTCACTTTTGAGTCCGCTTCCTAGAATCAACCAGTACTGGTGACAAATGAAAAAAACTTGGTCGTGACCCAAGTAGAGCTCGACCCATGATCTCTGGGTTGAGAGGCAGACACCTTGACCACTAGGCCACCACTCCCCTTCAAGGTCCGCTGCATACAGTATATCTACGTGATATGATTACTGATTTATTTAATCATTCATTCAGTCATGGCAACAACAAACAAATCAAAAAATTTTATCGCATGATATTGCATAATAAAATAAATGAAATCCTTTATAGTTTCATTAAAAAAAATCCCATATATTTCTTAAAAGCAGTCATAAGTCTCCATATGTGATAAACTGATATCAAGCAAACAAGAAGGGGCAAACCTCAAATCTTTGCTATCATTTGAGCTGCCAAAACAAACACTATATTTGTTTCCTTGTTTAAATTGATATCGCTTTAATCAAAAAACAATTAAAGTTGCAAGACTGTGTTATCATTATTCAGTGCATAAGATATCAAATGATAACCAGATGACTCCATAAAATACATATTTGCGTTGTGGCACAATTTGCTGGGTTCGGAAAAGAGTTATGACAATTCTAGGTATGTGATATCAGTCATCAAATTTAAGCTTATCATTCGCTGTCATTACATCATCATATTTTCAACTTAATGTGGTTTGTTTTATAGGTAAAAGATAAGAAGACAAACCGTTTTAATATTATTTTATCTTCCGGCTTCTTGTCAATATCAGAACCTTCCATGGAATCTTGAATTGATTTTATTTGCAATTCAGAGTCATCTGCTTGTTCACGGCTTAGAACGACCTTTGCCTCAGACTTATCTCCCCATGTTTCATTTTTAGTAACAGACATATTTTCTGTGACAGAGCTCAGGTCATGTTCAACCAATTCTGTTCCATCCAGGTCCTTCTTACGTTTAATGTTGTAATTATTGCGTGTAAAGTAATTTGACCCTCGGGATGTTAGTTTATGTTTTGTTTTCGACACATCTTTTTCATACACAGAAGAACTACCACCAGGGGAGGTAATTTTCTTCTCAACAACAGTGTCAGTTTCACGGGTCTCTGTACGACTTTGAGTTCTGCGGAGTTTCTTCCACTCGGTTATGGTCGTGTCTCCCTCCTGCACCTGACTGACTTCCTGTACAGTGACTGTTCCGTCGTCTCCATGTATAACTGATATTGCACCATGATCGTCTGTCTTTGCTGTTAAATCCAGAGACAAATTGCTGCTTAGCTCAATTTTTGCTGAAAAAATATCAAAATTTGTCATGTTCTTAATTGGCTTACATATAAATTACAGCAAAACACACAAAATATTCATGCCGGTAACAATTTATAATTCAGTTGGCATTATTCTTTATCATTTCTTTGTAGATTTTATACTACGTAATTTGAAAATTTATCATTTCAAAATCGAGAAAAAATGTTTTAGTGGTTATAGTATTTTTTCCTTTTTGTTTGGGCTTTCAGTGATTAAGACTTTAAAAAGGCTATACATTGTAAGGTGACTTTTCAGCTTTACAGATGAAGAAAGATGTGCATTATTTCAAGCACAAGCAGGCATTTGAGTAGAACCACATCTTCTTTATGTTAACAGGACATCATCATAGCTTACGCAAATAGAAGAATCAACATTTCCTGCTGGGATTTGAACCTACTGCCATGAGGGCCAAGTTATTCATACTCAGCAACCTTAATCACTTGGCCATGTGTTTGAGCCTATTGTGGTCAAAACATTTTTATTATGACATAATTACCAGAACTTAATATCTGAATTAGACTTGTCCATCTTTTAATCTAGATAAAACAGTTCATCATATAGGGAAAAAATTCAAGGTTACCAAACAGTGCAGACCATGATCAACTGGCATGTATGTATTGGTTAATCTTGGTCTGCACTGGCTGCATGGGTAGATTCAATTGGCAGTTGCAAGACAAATATTAACCATGTGCTATTCAAACATAATATTCATTGTATAAATATACCAATAATGAACAAGCTTTAAAGATATCATTTAAATTGTTTTCAATCTGGTGGAAAAACAAACAGGATCCTTATTCTGACAACTTGCTTTTTACATTATCTATATGGTAAAAACATTAAAGTACAACTTGTAAAACAATTGTCAAACATGATAACTCATTTTAATTAAATTAATAAAAAAAATCCACATTAAAACATCATGAACAATTACCTTTTCTAATAAATTTCAAATCTATAATATCATAAAAAAATAAATGAATAACGACAAGTAAATCAAATGTTTGCAGCCTTTGATGTGAATGTTCTGATGGGAAAAAAGGGGAAAAAATTAATCTTTATGTCTTTATTTCTCAATAATAAAACCACTCCCATTGTTTAATTAAGAAAATAAATTAGATGAAAATGAAATTTCACTTTAGTAAATATGCATATATTTTCAAAAAAAGATAAAAAAAATTAAAGAACCCAGATATGTAATACAAGTTATGTCTTCATAAAATGTACATTTTAGCAAAACAGTCACTATCTTTATCAAAATGATAAAATATCCCAATTCTATGAAAAAAAAAAACAACAACAAAAAAAACCCACATAAAAAAAACCTGTATTTTTCTGGCTCTAATTTTCTGCATCACTATGATAAAATGTCCAAGTTCCTATCACATTTCATAAACTAGATAAATTAGAAAACATAATCTCTTGTTTTAAATGTAATCAAATTTCCCTACCTTGTGATTTTTTAATTCCTGAAGATTGCTGTATTGCACTGCTTCCGTCATTTTCACCATCGCCTTTTTCTACTTCCTCAACCTTATCATTAATCTCATTGTTAATTGTTTCCTTTTTCACATCTACTGCTATTTCATTATCCCCACTAATATCGTTAGAAAAACTTCCTTTAGAGTCTTCCTCCAATTCTGAAGAGTCACAATTTTCTTCCTCTAATATTGGACCATCAGTTGTCAGAACATCAGAGACTTCGTTCTGCTCCGGAAACTCCTCAACTGCACCAAGAATCTCAGAAAATGCTGCTTCAATATCCATTGTTGACATGAACTTATCTATGTCTTTTAACAAAGGGAGTGATTTTCTTTTTTCTTCTAACCACAACAAGCTTGGACTCAGTCTGGTATCGTTTTCAGGTGAAGCAGTCAAATGATTATTCGAATCACTTACTTTGTTTCCAATTTTAACGTCTAACTCAGTATTACCATCAACAACCTCTTCAACAAGAGATCTTTCTGAACTCTTCACTGTAGTAACATTAGAATTGTCTGACTCACATTTATTAGTCTTATCAATAACATCTGGTTTATTCTTTTTAGAACTTGTACCTGAACTCACTGACTTAATATGTGGTTCAGAATTGCTTCTGTCTCGTCTAAGGTTCACAAGCTTACTCTGTTTATTCCTCTCAACATCTGCTCTTGACACAAGAATATGATGACCTTTTGATTTACCTTTGTCATTATTAATCTCTTCCTTTCTATTCGAAGGTTTTACTTCATTAACACTCTTCTTTTTATCTGCTTTTTCAAAAATCTCACATTTTTCAAGAATACGGTTCTTTTTCTGATTTTCTAGTTTAGTAACAGTTTCTTTAAGAAAATCCACAGGTTTCTTTGAATCACTTAGAGATACACCAGTTTTATTTTGTGAACTTTCCTTTCCTGATTCATTACTAGAGCTCCTTTTAAAAGATCTCTGAGAATTATCACATTTATCATTTGGCACTGTATTGATGATATCTGTGTCTCCACTTTTCTTTCTAATTCTGTCACTTTCAGAATGCCTCAACCTACCATTTGATTCAGTAATATCTTGAACATTTGATACCTGAGATGTACTTCTTTTTAAAAGTCCTGACTCACACGCTGCTTTGTTTTGAAAAACAGATTCACGTAAATTCTTCAAATTATTAGTCACTTCTTCAGATAGCTTTTCACTTTCTTTCCATCTACCAGCGTTAAAACTTGAATGTCTTTGAACAGGTTTGGCAACAATATGTTCCCCAGAGTCAACTTCTGACCGTTTTAAAACTTCATTTTTATTATGCACAACATCTCCATTTGTTACAGTTCCCTGAGACTTGGCATGCACCTGTCCATTAGTCTTATCTGTATCATGTTTTCCTGTGACACTTTGGCTACGTAGTGCATTGGACTTACCATGACCGTCACCATTCACAACTGGTTCTGATGATCTTTGAAGGATAAAACTTTGGCTTCTTTGGAGACCAGATGGTGGACCCTCTGAAATAAAAATAAAAGTTACATTGACATTGTTTGAAACATTTCTATCTTAATTGTCTGAAAAGATAAGAAAAATGACATTGTATAAATCGTATGGCATGCTTTATAAAGCATCTACATCAATAAGATATTAATACTGCTTGCTGCATAACAAAGTTATGTCACTCTTCTTTAAAAGCAACTACATGGTTATTGTTATTACATGATTAAATTCCATTTTGATTTATAGATAAAATAGCAATACCTTCATAAAGTAAACAATAATCCTAATTGACTATGTTAACATTAATAAACAACACAACTTAACTCTTTTGTTTCAATTATGATCAGTTATATTCTGCGCAAAAGTCCATCTGCAAACATATATATTTTTTAATCAAATATTGAAATCCAATTATCATGGGGTGATTGACATCAAACAAAGTAATAAGGGAGAAGTAGTTAAACGTAAAAACTGTAACCAATAATAATGTCACAACCACCCTCCCTCTATTATCAGTCAAAGATTCATCAAAAGAAAGATGGGTTATAAAATGTCAATAAAACCATTCAGTTTATGTCGTGAAAAATACAACAACAAACTATAAAACGAAATAGGTTTTTTCATTATTCAAATTGTCATAAAAACTTTTATTTTGATTTACCTCCAAAATCGAAATCATGATGACCTGTCACTGAAGTTGACAAATGCCCTGAATTATTTTGTTTGTTTCAAACAACATTGTACAGTCATACATAAATCAAAGGGCCATAAATTGAATGGAGCAAAATTTATATTTTTTCTTATACAAATTTGGATTTTCTATTGTAAATTTTCAGTAGAAGTCAAAACAATTGTTTTATAAATGAAATGGCAAGCTGGACTATACACCATGAAGGTTTTGTGCCATATGGTTGTAATTGACATTTTGCCTGTTACACAGATAAACAGACAGACGGATGAACAGACAAATAACCTTCTCTCATATCAATCTGCTTAACCTGCATAATTGTAATGGGCTTGCCCTATTTTATATTTGGAACAGACCATTCATAGTTTCAGAGATTTTGATTTTATTGACAGGCAACAGTATTGCATGTGTGGCACGTAATCTGATAATCAGAAATAGACAGGTCAGGGATCTATGCATGAAGTAATGTTCATCAATTTTATGAAATTTGAAATTCATTTTGCTAGCTAACATACTTATATAGGACCCACAATAAAAGAATATATTACAGAGACAAACATGTAGAATAGTTTTCACATAAAATTGATGCAATTATTCAGCTATATATAATACTTATAGATTTAACTGTTGTGTAACACAAAGAATGGTAGAGTCAGCATGCGACAGCTTGGGGAATTACTGATTGTTCTGATCTTATAAATTGCAGATTATTATATAGATCAGAGCTGTATATTGTTAACATAATTCTCTTATAACAGCAGAAATATATGAATATCAAGAAGCAATCTACAGCTGCTGCAGAGAATATATGTGACATATACAAATAGACATTTTTTTCATTTCAGTCTTGTTTAATTGCAAAGAGTTTAGAGTCCTGTTTAACTGTAAATAGTTAAGAGTCTGGTTTGACTGCAAAGAGTTTAGAGTCCTGTTTGACAGCAAACAGTTTGAGTCTGGTTTGACTTCAAATAGTTTAAAGTCTGGTTTGACTGCAAAGAGTTTACAGTCTTGTTTGACTGCAAATAATTTTAAAGTCTTGTTTGACTGCTAACAGTTTAGACTAGCTTTGACTATACTACTGGCATAGATATGAGTTAATCATTAGCATATGACCACTTTTAAATGAAACACATAGGGAATCACAGACCATTATTTCAGTAAATTTCCCATAATGTGACAATGTTCACTTAAGCAGCTAACAAAGTATGCAATTGCAGCACTTATAAATGATGATAAACATTCCACAAAACCTCAAGTAGTTCTCACATAATGCATGGTGCATATATACATGTAATACATGTTTTGTTGTGAAGATCAAGTTTTAAAGTGACCCCTGTTGCACTACTTGCATAAGTTTTAATGTGACCCCTGTTGCACTACTTGCATTGAGTGAATGTAGTAATATGTTACAGGATGGGGATGGGTGTGGTTGTTAGTGGAGATGGGTGTGGTTGTTAGTGGAGATGGGTGTGGTTGTTAGTGGAGATGGGTGTGGTTGTTAGTGGAGATGGGTGTGAAGGTGAGTGAGGATGGTTTTGGAGGTCAGTGGGGATGTGTTTGGAGGTTAGTGGGGATGGGTGTGAAGGTGAATGGGAATCAGTGTGGAAAGGAGTGGGGATGGTTGTGGCAGTGAGTGGGGATGTGTGTGGAAGTGAGTGGGGATGGTTGTGGCAGTGAGTGGGGATGGTTGTGGCAGTGAGTGGGGATGGTTGTGGCAGTGAGTGGGGATGGTTGTGGCAGTGAGTGGGGATGGTTGTGGCAGTGAGTGGGGATGGGTGTGGAAGTGAGTGGCGATGGGTGTGGTGGTGAGATTATTCTTAAAAGAACAGTACATGCATTCATTATTAATGACTCAAACTGATATTTGAACTTAATAAGTTTTATAATTTAAGAGTTAGGAAAAAAGAATGTAATAAATTTTGTTTGTTTGTTTAATTGAATTTTAAGTTACACGACACTGCAAATGTCATATCATGAATTTTCAGCTTAAATTTACAGATGGAGGATGATCTCATGTAATAAATTGATATCATTAAATGATTTATCATTCTCTTCTAATTGCCAAGGATTACAACTGATATTCCATAATGTAAAACAACTTCCTTGCATAACAATATACGCCGAAATATTTTCAGGCGTATAACAAAAACTGACTTTTTAAAAAGCTGTCATAATTGCTACTTGCATTCATTGAAAAGTTAATTTAAGGACATATGACTGTATAAATATGATAGTGTACCAACGGTACTTATTTTATTTTATCTTAATGATAAATATCTACAGTACACAGTACATTAAGAGCTAAAACATTATCAAATTATTTATAAATAACACTTTTTGTGTGTGAGTCACTCTTTTAAAATGACAATCTTTGATATAAGATTTGGAAAAAAACACCATAGATAATGTTAAAATGTTAAAAGTTTAATGAAAGTTTGTCTAACAACTGCTTTTTTTGAAATTCATAATGCACTCTCATTTTAGACATACACAATTTTATATTTTCTCAGTTTTAAAACATACAATGGTTCAGTAATTTTCTACCAGCTTGCAAATTTTAAAATTTTAAAAACAGAGTCTCAAATTTCCGTGGCAACAGTATAATTTATGTTTTTTAAGTGATACCAAATATCATTATCGGAACAAAATCTGAAGTTTTTAAGTTCATTGTGAGCTTATATGATACAAAGAATAGTTTAAATAACAGTTAGATAAAATATCACAAGAATGATAACTTTTTTCACAAATATTGTGAATCAAACATCTTGTAGTTTTAAATATCTTAAAGCTTGATGTTGCACGTTACCAACAGCCTCTGAGTTTAACATATTTCAAACTTAAGAATAAAATTGTATTAAGAATAAACATTCGCAATCCATGTAATATTTTACACATTCTATGTAATAGTTTAATATTTTACATACTGTGAGCAAAATTTGACGTAATTGACTATTATCCTCATATTTCTACCTCGCAAATAAGGTAAATTAGGGGCTATTATTGTATTTTCTTTCGCAAACTTTGACACATTTTAAATAATTTAAGAGGATTTAAAAGTGACTTAAATATGCTTGAATTTATATTATAATAATTATGCATTTGACAATGTTGTGACTATAATCTAAAACTATGGTGGCTGATTTGATACGGTTTTGTTCGTTTATTTGGTGCTAGCTACAACAAGACAAAGCGCCAAACAGCGCATTGTCAGACTTTCCTCTTGTCACTAGCAACAACATGCCAAACGGCGCGTTGTTATGTGGCATGTTGTTGCGATGTTACCCTGTCGCTTGGCTTGTAAGCCAATCCTTCGGTTTGAACCGAGCGACAATGTGACATCGCAACAATACGCCGCACGACAATGTACCATTTGGCGTGCATCGTTAGCGACAGGACAACAAGATGAAAGTCGATAAAGGGCCAACTAGACACACAAAAGCATACCAAATCAGCCACCATATAAAACACTTTCTAAATTTCCATTATCTTCACTTGAGGCAAAGCTGCTTTGTGAAGAACTGATAATAGCAATGTTTCCAGTGATCACTAAAACTATGATACTTTCTCTTAGCAATTTTTATCAATTTTAAAGAATCTGAAACTGTGCGCTCGACTATTCCCAGTGCTTGACAGTAAGGAAAAGGGGCATTACTCTATAAAAGAGACACTCAGAGTTATGGGACCTGTGCCCATCATGTTAGATAATCACAGAGAACAAGTCTTTGAAGTTTCAACCCATTTCCCTCAGTAATTTTGGAGAAACAATCTTCGAAGCAAAAAATTTACCAAAGTGTGATGGCCGTGCTGGTGTGAGTTACAATAGCTCTCCCTATTCTTTAAATAATCAAGCTAAAGATGTTTCTATTTTTGTCTCTTAAACAGCCTTCACAATGATTCTTTCAACTGGTTGATATTAGCATTATTGGTCTTCCATAGTTTTGCATGTATGAAGCTTTATTAATAATTAAAAAAAATAAATCAATGTTAAAATTTAACAGACAAACCTTCATTATTTTCTGCCCTTTATTATCATTAAATTTCACATAAAATGATTTTTATTTTTATCCAATATTATCCTTCTATAATATCCACTTTGCTGTGAATGATAACAACTATATAATATATCTCTTTTGCACCAGTTAACTTGATGCACAAAATTACCATAAACGCATTTCATCCAGCCAGGATCAACGACTCCAGAATATTGTACATATAACTGGGTCATATGTTACGTTATTGTCTTTTTTAATAACATTATATATATTTATAATAAAGAGAAAATAAATCTTACATCCAATATATTATTAATATGCTCCCAAAAACATTTAA